TTGAATGAATCCCCTGTTTCAAACTTAAAATTACTCCTGCTCCCCATTTTTCATAATAAAAGATTGCAATCAATTATTTTAAAAGAAAGTTCACTCACATCCTATTTTTCCCCCCCATATATTGGCAACTCAGAATTGGCATTGCAAAAATGGCTGATATTACGTATAAATTAGGTCAAGCAATATTGTAGCTATTTTTGCATATTGGCACTGTCATAGGCAGCATTGTTTCCTGCTGTTGCTGTTCTGACTGCCTCAGTGGCTTTCCAGAATTTGTTTCGGTACTAAAATTTGTCCGGGCTGAATAGGGGCATAAACTAAATGTTGGCGACTCAATTTTTTTTTTCCAGAATTTCTTCTCTTCACATGTTTACTGTGTACTGTATATAATATATAGCGAGAGATATAATATATCACTATAACAGAATTATGCACTATACCAGGAACTGACCACTGAATTTAAAATAGAATAGCTGAGTTGTAGAACTGTCCCAGGTCACCTATTTTGTCCTAAAATTTGAAATTTTCTCATTAATTATCAAAAATTCATAATGAATTGAATAGCTCTGCAAATGTAGTCAAAGGTCTGGTGACCTTTGTTTATATAATTTGTATAAATTTGAGTGCTTGTGCAAAACCTTTATATTATCTCCAGTTAACCTATTTAGCTTTTTAATTTAATTCATTTTGTTGAACTTAAATATGATGCTTGCTTGAGAAGCTGGGAACATATGATTTTTTCTTTTTTAATAAATAACTAATTAAGTAATTATTTTATATTATTTTTTTTCCTCCTTTGGTCTAATTTAAATCTGGCATACACTGGGTTTTTTCAGTGACTTGAGAATATCTTTATAATTCAAAATGATTTTTTAAAATATTCCTTTCCCTTAGTGTATTAAAGATCATCTGCTTTTGTTTAAAACAGTATTATGCACAGCACATAAAAAGCTGACGTAGTCAACAACTCCAGTTGTTATTATTTGCCTTCAGATAATTCAAACAGTATGAACTGTCGTCTATACTTCAATTCTAACACAAACCATAATTTTGCTCTAACGTGTAAAATAACATTAACTTTTTCCTGAATAGTTCTTTAAGTTCACTCATTTAATATTTAAAGAGCCAAGCATGGAAACCAAGCATGCTTATAGGGAAGTAAATGTAACTATTGGTGTAGATATACTAGATATGCAAACACCCATGCCAAGGACCCTTAAATGTTGTGTGAGATGAAAGCAAGCGTGTAAAATGTAGACCATAATAGATAGTCATGACATTTTAGCGATTTGTTTTTCAGATCTCCACAAGCCACTGTTTAGTTAGTAAATCACATGTGCATCCTAACTATAAAGAAATATGTTAATGCACTATATATGTGCACAGTTACTGCGTTACATTAATATTAAATATGTATTTACCCAGAGAGCTGCAACAAAGGGGCACTCTGTAGTTCCACGGACCACTGTGAAGATGCACAATACCCAGTACAGCAATGATCTAGTGTGCAGTTGGAATATCTAGTGTGTGCACATCAGTTTGAATACTCCTTTAAAGGAACACTCCACTGCTCAAATCCCGCAAACAATCACGGTTATGAAAAAGATGGATAGAAAGGTGAGCACAAGTGAATCAGTAATAATGGATAACGAAATCAGAACACAGAAGAGAAGTGCAGAGAACTGATAATGGTGGAGAAAGAACAGATGGCATGGTAGTGGAGGAGAGAGCAAATTACACAGATTTTGGAGGAGGGAGAGATCGAGAGACACAAATCATAGAGGAGGCCACATGTATAGAGGCAGAAAAAACAAGAGTCGTAAGTGCTGTTTAGTAGAGAGGTCAAGTTGCAGCAGAGGGGATGGGGGCAAAAAACAGTGGTCAGGGAATACGGGGTAAACAAAAGCAAACAAAAAAAGGGTACCCAGATTAGACGTATGTGAGAAATTCCAGAGAAAATAGTCCCGTTAAAAGCAATAGTGGAGGAGGTACTGAGAGATATGGAGAACATGAAACAGACAGATAAGTAGAATACCTGGGGGTAAGACCAAGTGTTACTAAAGTTTAGAGAGTTATTTACTAAAGTGAGAATTGTCAGGAATTAAAAGGCAATTTCAAACTGAATCCCAAAGTAGCCTAACTGAAAAAATTCTCCCAGGTAGATATGCTTCCAATTTAGCTACCTTAAATTTAATATTCACTTTAAATTCCCAACAATTCTGACTTTAGTAAATAACCCTGTAGTCATGTCCACCTACTTCCTGTAGAGTCACAAAATCTTAGTACTGTAAGCTTGTGCTTATCATCCTTAAAACGAAATGTTCCACCGTAAGGATAACTAAATTGCAAGAATATAACATATGACTCTGTAGATCTGAATGTAAGCTGGTATTTCTCCAGAACAGGAAATAATATTACATTACATTAACAGCATAATTTGCTATAAATGCCATTACATGATTACCCAGTAGACTGACGGAAGATTACATCAATAAAAGTCTAATAGCTAAAGTGCATAGTGTGTGTTTTAATCACTTTATTAATACATGAAAGCTTTATTTGTTTAATGATCTATTTTTGGAATAAACTCAAAATTATTTTTAAAATGACAGAAAAGGACTTTGCAGACATAAAAAACATGAATGCAATGAGCAAGTGATTTATATATGTCTCCAGAACACGGATCTGGCACTATTTTCCCCTGTTAAACACTTTAGCATTATGGGGGTTTTGGTTGTTGTTTTTATTATTATTATTATTATGTTATTATTTATATAGCGCCATCAAATTCCGCAGCGCTTTACAATGGGTGGACGAACCGACATGTAGTTGTAACCAAACAAGTTGGACACACAGGAACAGAGGGGTTGAGGGCCCTGCTCAATGAGCTTACATGCTAGAGGGAGTGGGGTAAAATGACACAAAAAGGTAAGGATAGTATTAGACTAGTAAAAGTTGCAGAAGAGGAATCAGTCAGGAGCTATTAACAGTTTAATTGATACGCTTTTATGACGAAGTGGGTTTTTAACGTTTTTTTTGAAGGAGTGGAGACTGGGTGAGCATCTAACTGAGGAGGGAAGCGAGTTCCACAGGAACGGTGCAGCCCTCGAGAAATCTTGAAGGCGAGCATCAGAGGTGGGAGTACGGACAGAAGATAGTAGTAAGTCTTCACCAGATCGTAAGGGCCTAGACGGACATACTTGTGTATAAGGGAGGATAGATAGGTGGGAGCAGCATAATGTAACGATTTGAAAGCAAGAACCAGAATTTTAAATTGAGCTCTATATTTTATAGGAAGCCAATGTAGGGACTGACAGAAGGGTGAGGCATGGGAGGAAGATGAGCCTCGCCGCCGCATTCATTATGGACTGTAACGGCGCAAGTTGGAAGCACGTAAGAAAACTGAGAAGTGGATTACAGTAGTCAAGGCGAGAAAGGACAGTGGAATGGACCAATACCTTAGACGCATCTGGCGTTAAGTAGGGGCAGATGCGAGCAATGTTTTTGAGATGGAAATGACAGGATTTGGCGATAGACTGAACATGAGGCTTGAAGGAGAGGTCAGAGTCAAAGAGAACACCTCGGCAGCGAGCCTGCGTGGTGGAGCTGATGGTAGCACCGTTGACTTGGAGGGAGACAGACACAGGAGTAACAACACTTGAAAGACCAGAATTTCAGTTTTGGTCAAGTTTAGTTTAAGGAAGTGGGTAGCCATCCAGTTAGAAATAGCAGAGAGGCAGTCAGAGACACTAGTCAAGAGGGACGGGGAGAGCTCAGGAGAGGACAGGTAGATTTGCATGTCATCTGCATAGAAATGATATTGGAAGCCAAAGGAGCTAATGAGTTTACCAAGGGAGGCAGTGTAGATGGAGAACAGTAGGGGACCAAGGACTGAACCTTGGGGGACACCAACAGAGAGGGGTTGGGGAGAAGAAGCAGAGCCAGAGAAAGAAACACTGAAAGAGCGCTGGAGAGGTAGGAGGAGCACCAGAAGAGAGCAATATCTTGTAGACCGATATTGCGGAGAATGAGAAGAAGCTGCTGATGATCAACAGTGTCAAAAGCCGCAGACAGGTCAAGGAGAATTAGGATAGAGTAGTGACCATGAGATTTTGCAGCAAGTAGATCATTGGATACTTTGGTCAGTGCCGTTTCCACAGAGTGCTTAGCGCGGAAACCAGACTGAAGCGGGTCTAGCAGAGAGTTAGACTCAAGGAAGTCTGTCAATCTCGCATAAACAATTCTTTCAAGGATCTTGGATGCAAAAGGTAGTAGCGAGATAGGACGATAGTAGAATGGGGAGTTAGGGTCAAGGTTGGGCTTATTTAGAATTGGGGTTACAGTTGCATGTTTGAAGTTCGATGGAAATATACCAGAGGATAGAGAGAGATTGAGAATTTTAGTGAGAGGTGGAGAAAGAGAAGAAGACAGAGTATGGATGAGATGTGAGGGAATTGTATCTAGGGAGCAGGTGGTGGGGCGGGAGGACTGGAGCAGAGCAGAAACCTCTTCCAATGTAGCGGGTGCGAATGAACATAGAACAGCAGAGAGAGTGAAGTTAGAGGAAGTATTGTAAGGGGAAGAAGAAAGATCTCTTCTCTGATTGTAGAGATCTTGTCAGTGAAGTGAGTTGCAAAGTCTGAGGCGGTCAAGTTAGTAGGTGGAGGAGGAACAGCAGAGCGAAGAAGAGAGTTAAATGTGTGAAATAGTCGTTTGGGTTCGCAGGAGAGTGTGGTTATGAGGGTATTGAAGTAATTAACTTTTACAGAGGAAAGAGCCAAGCTGTATGAGCTCAGCATAAATTTATAGTGGAGAAAGTCAGATGCACAGTGAGACTTTCTCCAACAGCGTTCAGCAGTTCTGGAGCATTTTTGGAGGTATCGAGTGAGCTTGGTGTGCCAGGGTTGTTGTTGGGGGGGCCTGCGGCATTTAAATGTACAAGGTGCAATGATGTCTAGTTGAGAGGAGAGGGTGGAATTGTAGAAGGAGGTTGCAGAACTAGGACAGGTGAGATTTGAGATAGGTAAAAGGAGAGTTTGGAGATTAGTGGAGAAATGCTCTAGGTCAAGACATTAGAGGTTTCTGTCAGACGGTGGTGTCAATTGGGTCTTAGGTATGCCAATGTCAAAAGTCAGCAGATGGTGGAATATTGGAGAGATTAGAGGCAGTACAGAGGTTGTTTTATTTTACCTTTTTCGCTGATGTAAGAGCTAGGGTTAGGACAGGGATTAGGGTTAATGAAAGGGTAAGAATTAAGGCTCTGGTTCTTTCTTTTACTCTGATAGCTCTTATATATGTTTCTCATGATTACTCACAAAAACATCAGTTGTCCATGACTGCTGACTTCTTCAATCACCAACTCCCTTAACCCTCCCGTTCCCAATAAGTAACGCAACACCATGTTAAGTGGGAAAGGGCCAACGGCCACAGCTTTATTTAAACCAGCATAACCAAATACTGTCAGCTACTGGTTTTACCCAGCAGACAGGTATACTTTAAACTTCATCCAGAGTCTCTTCAGCCTGTCTTTCATCATCAACCAAATTCAGGCTGCGACTCCCCAAGCCCATCCGGGCATTATTGATTTTTCTAAACTTGCTGGCGCAGGAAACCTGGACCTGGAGAAAATAAAAACAAAGAAAAGACAACACAAACAAAAATATAATATAAAATGTAAAAAATATAAAAATATAATAGCCATGACTATTAGAGACCTACGGTTACCTCGATATCTAACATTCAGTAAATATTGTCTATTTTGCCATGAACAATACACCTGTTATCTGTTGCTTCCCATATACTGCACTATGTTGGTCACATTCAGAGTAATGCTTTTTAATGCCGATTAAATAATTGGTATCTATAGACGGCTGTTGAATGAAGTCCATCCTTGTCTAATGTAATGTATAAGCAACCAATTAGTAGCATATATATATGGATGTTTTATATTTTGGGATTTGTATCTACTGTGATCATTTACATATTTGTATTGAAGTACTTTTTGATTCATTACGTTTGATAAATGTGATCTCAGTTAATTTCTCTGAATTATTTTATTTGTTATGATATTTCCTTCGCCAGACAGTCTGGCAGCTAATCATGGTCTAGTTATCAGTGGGGTACCTCAGGGATCTTTACTTGGACCCATTCTCTTTAATATTTTTATTAGTGATTTTGCAGAAGGTCTTGATGGTAAGGTATGTCTTTTTGCTGATGATACTAAGATATGTAACAGGGTTGATGTTCCAGGAGTTATAAGCCAAATAGCAAATGATTTAGGTAAACTAGAAAAATGGTCAGAGTTATGGCAACTGACATTTAATGTGTATAAGTGCAAGATATGTATCTTGGACATAAAAAACCCAAGGGAGTAGTACAGAATATTTGATAGAGTCCTAACCTCAACATCTGAGAAAAGGGATTTAGGGGTGATTATTTCTGATGACTTAAAGGTAGGCAGACAATGTAATAGTGCAGCAGGAAATGCTAGACGAATGCTTGGTTGTATACCAACACTTTATTTAGTCTACCTCAATACAAAAAGAAAGCAGCCTGATCCTCCTTCTCCTACAGAGCACCGCAATTGTGGAATGACCTCCCGCACAATTTAAAATCTTTCCTAAGCCTAAAGTCCTTTAAGAGATCCCCTCTACATACCTCAAAACAGAATGCACGTGTCATGGTTGATTATACATTTCCTATGTATATAGAATATAGAATGCACACTATAACAATCTCAAAAAAAACTTTGCTTTATTATGTACAAAAAAGTACCAGAGTGAAAACATATAAAAAAAGATAAACAAAGTGACAGAAGCAAGGGCAAACACAATAAAACAATAGTAAATTACCACAAAAATTCTTACAAGCCTCCAGACAGAAACACGAGTCACCAAACCCCCCAACGTTTCGGCACCAACTGGCTGCCTTTATCAAGGGTACCTGGTACCTGATTATACATTTCCTACCTGTTCTATGTTATATTTTGTATATATTGTGTATTAATATTGTTTTTGTATTTTATTGTACCCTAATGTAACAATGCAATGATTTGTGGACCCAGGACATACTTGAAAACAAGAGAAATCTCAATGTATCTTTCCTGGTAAAATATTTTATAAATAAATAAATAGGGAGAGGTATTAGCAGTAGAAAGATGGAAGTGCTCATGCCATTGTACAGAACACTGGTGAGACCTCACTTGGAGTACTGTATGCAGTACTGGAGACCGTATCTCCAGAAGGATATTGATACTTTAGAGAGAGTTCAGAGAAGGGCTACCTAACTGGTTCATGGATTGCAGGATAAAACTTACAAGGAAAGGTTAAAGGAACTTAACGTGTATAGCTTGGAGGAAAGACGAGACGGGGGATATGATAGAAACATTTAAATACATAAAGGGAATCAACACAGTAAAGGAGGAGACCATATTTAAAAGAAGAAAAACTACCGCAAAAAAAGGACATAGTCTTAAATTAGAGGGACAAAGGTTTAACAATAATATCAGGAAATATTACTTTACTGAGAGGGTAGTGGATGCATGGAATAGCCTTCCAGCCGAAGTGGTGGAGGTTAACACAGTGAAGGAGATTAAGCATGCGTGGGATAGGCATAAGGCTACCCTAACTATAAGATAGAGTAAGGGACTAATGAAAGTATTTAGAAAATTGGGCAGACTTGATGGGCCAAATAGTTCTTACCTGCCGTCACATTCTATGTTTCTATGTTTCTAATCTTGAAAATCTCTGTTCAACTCAAGTGGTGTCCTGATAAATGCTTACTTTGTTCTTGGACCTGATAAAAAGCTCTGTGGGCCTTATTGTTATTATATTGGATTCTGCTCTTAGTATATTAACATTAATTACATTAATTTGCTTCTCCATTAAAAAAAAATAAAAAAATCAGTAGTAATAGTAAAACAGGTAAATATAAATGGGGCTGTGTGTTACCATGTGCAATACTGTCAGTTAAAATCCTTTAAAATAGACACATTTTGAATAATGTATAACATCTGTGGGGTTAATCATTTGGCTTTTCTTATAAAATGTCCATATAGTATCTAGTTTTGTCTATTTCTACAGAATGGCACACTAGTCCATTGATAGCTAATGAGGATGACCAGTTGAGCTTAATGTGCCACTGTCTAACATGCTTGCATGACAGGGAGCTCATGTGATGAACCCAACCATCATACTACAGAATCCCGTATGCAAATTTTTTATGTTCTTAGAAAATCCAGAATCTAAATCAACAATAAGGTGTGATGAGTCTGTAAATATATTTTTTTCAGTTAAACAAAGTTGTCATTTATAAACATTTTGTTCAATTTTGAAATGACAAATAAAGTTTTTTCCAAAGGTAAACTTAACTGTTGATGTCCACCATTTTAGACATTTACACAATCTCTACAAACACCATAACCATTACAGTGTATAGTAGTGTTCAACGTGCAAGAAATCTACGGGTGTGGTTCCTTTGTTTCTTTTTCAAACCCTTTTCAAATAGTTTTAAAAAACTAGAGGTTGCCTCCACACAACGGCCCATTGCCTTTGCTTGATATAATTAAATAAAGATTTGCTTCCTCATTATTCCTATAAAATATTTGAAAAATACATTACAAAAGTTAGGTGCACCAAATCATAGAGGCCTTCCTGGTGAGGCTGAATCAACATTGACCATTCCTGCTCCATCAAACTGGCACAGGCTTCCATGAGTTTTATTCACTAAATATTTCAATCTAATGAATTGGAACAGGATACCAAGCTGTGCCTTTAGCTGAGATAGATATTTATTTTCCAAGCCAGTTATTGTTGCCCATGTTTTGCAATTTGGTTTTAAATTCACTATACTTCGGTGAATAGTGAGTAAACTCTCTTATTATTGTAGAGTTTCAGTGTGTTTGTATATGTAATTGGATTGTATATATTGTATGTGAATGCAGGTGTGTATTTGTGTGCATCTCTCTACCATGTCCTCTAATCATGTGTCCCTGTCACTTTATTAACATGACCCACCACATCTCTAACCAAGCTGTGTCTCCCTCATATAAATTCAACAAGTTTTAACTCTTCCTATTTCTCTCTTACTTGTGTCTCTCTTTTTCCCATGTGTTTATTTCTCCCCATCTCTCTCCACTTGCAACTCTCCCCCACATTCTCTTTGTGTCCTATTTCTCCTTGTGCCTCTATGCCCCCATCTCCCACCTCACTTTTTCCTATTACTCAATCTCCTCCAACTTACAACTTTCCTGTATGTGTGCCTCCCTTGACCTAAGAACTGTTCATGTGTCTCCTCCCCTTATCACCAGGTGTCTCTCCTTCCATTCCCTCCCATTTACCTTTCCTATGAGCATTACTTTTCATTAGTTCCTAGATTGGTGCTTCTCAAATAATTCCCCAGTTCCCCCTCTCAGATGTAACTTATGGCACAGGCCCACCTAATAGTACCCAATTGATTGCAAGTACAAATAAAAAATGTGTTCTGTATTTTTCACAGTTTAATGTACTGCTTTCTTTTTTTCTTATAATATCAAGTGTTACACTTGTTCCCTGCTAAGGGAACCAGAACACATAATTTATTGGCCATTATAATTATGAGCATCTTACCCCTTAAATAAGATTACATCCAGACTTTTTCCGTACTTGGAGCCTGCACACGACTTTCTATCCAATAGCCGCTCATGCTAGCAAACATTCATCCAATTTTAAAATCTTCCAATTAAAGAAACAGTAAAAAAAAATAGACAGATGTATTTATATAGTTATATATAGTTATATATATATATATATATATATATATATATATATATATATATATATATATAGGGGCTGAACTAACTATCTTAGAGGGCTCTGGTGATAGAATTTATTTGCCTCCCCCTATCACAAGGGTGTAGGGTTGTATTTAGCACTGAGCAATGTTTGTGTGTTTGACCGTAAGCATGTTTTTGAATGCATTATGTGTGTGTGATTGTAGGTGTGTGTATATATATATATATATTGTTCAACAGCAATTCAAAAATAATAATGAATCAATGACAGAGAAATAACAATAATACAATTATTTTCATGTCTAATGAACACCATGTGGTTTGTTGGCAATGGTTTTTATTCATATTATCATGTCAAAAACACTCAGTATCAAGGTATATATAAAAGTGAAGTCTGTACTGAATTTACTGTCTAAAAGTGTGGTAAAGGAACTGTATT